AACCCTAACCTAACCCTAACCCTAACCCTAACCCTAACCCTAACCCTAACCCTAACCCTAACCCTAACCCTAACCCTAACCCTAACCCTAACCCTAACCCTAACCCTAACCCTAACCCTAACCCTAACCCTAACCCTAACCCTAACCCTAACCCTAACCCTAACCCTAACCCTAACCCTAACCCTAACCCTAACCTAACCCTAACCCTAACCCTAACCCTAACCCTAACCCTAACCCTAACCCTAACCCTAACCCTAACCCTAACCCTAACCCTAACCCTAACCCTAACCCTAACCCTAACCCTAACCCTAACCCTAACCCTAACCCTAACCCTAACCCTAACCCTAACCCTAACCCTAACCCTAACCCTAACCCTAACCCTAACCCTAACCCTAACCCTAACCCTAACCCTAACCCTAACCCTAACCCTAACCCTAACCCTAACCCTAACCCTAACCCTAACCCTAACCCTAACCCTAACCCTAACCCTAACCCTAACCCTAACCCTAACCCTAACCCTAACCCTAACCCTAACCCTAACCCTAACCCTAACCCTAACCCTAACCCTAACCCTAACCCTAACCCTAACCCTAACCCTAACCCTAACCCTAACCCTAACCCTAACCCTAACCCTAACCCTAACCCTAACCCTAACCCTAACCTAACCCTAACCCTAACCCTAACCCTAACCCTAACCCTAACCCTAACCCTAACCCTAACCCTAACCCTAACCCTAACCCTAACCCTAACCCTAACCCTAACCCTAACCCTAACCCTAACCCTAACCCTAACCCTAACCCTAACCCTAACCCTAACCCTAACCCTAACCCTAACCCTAACCCTAACCCTAACCCTAACCCTAACCCTAACCCTAACCCTAACCCTAACCCTAACCCTAACCCTAACCCTAACCCTAACCCTAACCCTAACCCTAACCCTAACCCTAACCCTAACCCTAACCCTAACCCTAACCCTAACCCTAACCCTAACCCTAACCCTAACCCTAACCCTAACCCTAACCCTAACCCTAACCCTAACCCTAACCCTAACCCTAACCCTAACCCTAACCCTAACCCTAACCCTAACCCTAACCCTAACCCTAACCCTAACCCTAACCTAACCCTAACCCTAACCCTAACCCTAACCCTAACCCTAACCCTAACCCTAACCCTAACCCTAACCCTAACCCTAACCCTAACCCTAACCCTAACCCTAACCTAACCCTAACCCTAACCCTAACCCTAACCCTAACCCTAACCCTAACCCTAACCCTAACCCTAACCCTAACCCTAACCCTAACCCTAACCCTAACCCTAACCTAACCCTAACCCTAACCCTAACCCTAACCCTAACCCTAACCCTAACCCTAACCCTAACCCTAACCCTAACCTAACCCTAACCCTAAACCCTAACCCTAACCCTAACCCTAACCCTAACCCTAACCCTAACCCTAACCCTAACCCTAACCCTAACCCTAACCCTAACCCTAACCCTAACCCTAACCCTAACCCTAACCTAACCCTAACCCTAACCCTAACCCTAACCCTAACCCTAACCCTAAAACCCTAACCCTAACCCTAACCCTAACCCTAACCCTAACCCTAACCCTAACCCTAACCCTAACCCTAACCCTAACCTAACCCTAACCCTAACCCTAACCCTAACCCTAACCCTAACCTAAAACCCTAACCCTAACCCTAACCCTAACCCTAACCCTAACCCTAACCCTAACCCTAACCCTAACCCTAACCCTAACCCTAACCCTAACCCTAACCCTAACCCTAACCCTAACCCTAACCCTAACCTAACCCTAACCCTAACCCTAACCCTAACCCTAACCCTAACCCTAACCCTAACCCTAACCCTAACCCTAACCCTAACCCTAACCCTAACCCTAACCCTAACCTAACCCTAACCCTAACCCTAACCCTAACCCTAACCCTAACCCTAACCCTAACCCTAACCCTAACCCTAACCCTAACCCTAACCCTAACCTAACCCTAACCCTAACCCTAACCCTAACCCTAACCCTAACCCTAACCCTAACCTAACCCTAACCCTAACCCTAACCCTAACCCTAACCCTAACCCTAACCCTAACCCTAACCCTAACCCTAACCCTAACCCTAACCCTAACCCTAACCCTAACCCTAACCCTAACCCTAACCCTAACCCTAACCCTAACCTAACCCTAACCCTAACCCTAACCCTAACCCTAACTAACCCTAACCCTAACCCTAACCCTAACCCTAACCCTAACCCTAACCCTAAACCCTAACCCTAACCCTAACCCTAACCCTAACCCTAACCCCTAACCCTAACCCTAACCCTAACCCTAACCCTAACCCTAACCCTAACCCTAACCCTAACCCTAACCCTAACCCTAACCCTAACCCTAACCCTAAGCCCTAAACCCTAACCCTAACCCAACCCCAACCCCAAACCTAACTCTAACCCTCCTAACCCTAACCCTAACCCTAACACCTTAACCCTAACCTAACCCTAACCCTAACCCTAAGCCCTAAACCCTAACCTAACCCTAACCCAACCCCAACCCGAACCCCAAACCTAACCTAACCCTAACCCTAACCCTCCTAACCCTAACCCTAACCCCTAACCCTAACCCTAACACCTTAACCCTGACACCCTAACCCTAACCCTAAAACCCTAACTCTTGACCGTGACCCTAACCCTGGCAATACTTTTCAATTCACAAGAATGGCAGAAGACAAAAGAAATGGCCCAAACTAGAGAACAATGTGACATTGATTTCACATTAAATCCTATCCATTTTTACTCACCCATTCAATTTTCATTTTAAGTTCTTGTCATTAAAGACAAGAACTTTCTGATAGTAAAACAAAGAATTCCAAAGGAATGGAGACTAGATTCGATGACACAGTCCTCCCATCCAAAAATAATCAACTCCATCAGTTTCTCCTCTGTCCCCTCCCGGCTTGGTGACTCTTGGTGCCTGTGTGCTGAGTATATCAGGAACATTGACATCTTTTGTCATCTGTCCCTGCTGGAGAAATGGCCCAGTCAAGCCTCGGCCTCCTGTATATGTTCACTAGCCACACTTTCTCCAACTCAGCAGCCTCTTTTGTTCTAACTTTTCAGAATCATAAATGGAACATTGACACCTACAGTGTCACAGTTTTTGAGATAGATCCCTAGCAGCACAACTTCCAGGTCCTAATGAATGGGTTTTTGGGTATCAGCCAGTTTCATCTCAGGACTCTTCATGGAGCTGGAGCCTTGATGGGAAAAGGCAGGGACTACACACCCTGTGGTTGACACCTCCAGCCAGCACAGCAGGCAACAATGGGGCCTTGGAGGGAAGCAGAGGAGCAGGTGAGACAAGGCCCTGCCCCAGCCAGGCACCTCCTGCTCCAAAACTCAATTTCCCAGCAAATCAGCCCAGCCCTGCACCCTGGACACAAGAGGGGACAGGTCTAGCCACCACACCTGGAAGTTCTTCCCGCTTCCTGACACGGAGATGCCTGCTTTTGCTCATGGAAGCTCTAACTCCCTGAGTTGAGAGACCACCTCGAACCCGTTGTAGCCATATGTACTTCTCAGCTGCAGCAACAGCACTTGGTTGAGCTGGGTAAGATGTACAGGGCTTCATAAAGCATGGATGTGTCATGGAAACTGCTAGAGTCAGACATCGAGCTGGAAATGAGAAGCACAGCCACAAAGCACCTTCAGGATCCTCCAGTGGAGACCCCAACGCCACTATAAGCCTTAAAACATTATGCAAAGTGAAACAAGTTACAAACAAGCATATATAAAGAGGATTCTATTCACATGAAATAGCCATAATAGGTCAATTGAAACATACAGTATGGACATGGTGCCACAGACCTGTAATCCCAGCACTTGGGAAGCTGCGGCCAGAGGATTCCAAGTTTAAGGCCAGCCTGGGTTACACTGGAAGACCCTGTCTCAAACCTCCCGCCCCAAACAAAACATTTAGAAAGGAACTAGGAAATGTACACATATCAGGAACTTCAACAGACTCCTGTGTTCTGCTTTGCAAACACCACAGTACTCCAACAGTGTAATTCTGGCCTACCACAGCATCTTCTAAGTATAAACTATTGTTTCAATGTTTTAGAAAAAAAAAAAAAAAGGCAATTCTCGTAAGTGTTTTAAAGCAAGATTTTTTTTTTTTTTGTCAAACTAAAACTAGTATGTTCACCATCACATCACTGGGAACCTTACTAACATGTTGATCAGAGATGAGGAGATAGGCTGCCATTGTCACTGATCACTTACGATGCAGACGTGTGTCACCAACAAGCAAACGGGGAGGTGGGTGCTGTCAGGCTCTCCATAGCTTGCAGAGAGATGTGGACAAGTCTCTTTTACTACCCTGGGCTGTGTTCCTCTATACACAGATTGAGGGTGGCCAGCTATGTGGCTTGAAGGCACCTCCAATTAAAAAGGATTGAAATCCCATCTTTCGGCAGACATTCACAGGGGCAGAAGAAATGGATTTAAGATGGAGTTTCAAAGTTCTCACCTTTCGATACCACCCACAGAATAACTATGTATTTCAAGGAAATGTCTACCTGGTACTGGTACTGCTTCAGGATGCGCCAACGAGGCACCTAACAATGAAAATTTCAGTAACAAAATAACAAGCCATGCCAAAACCAAGTACAGAAGCAATGCACCACCATGTTCCTACCAGCACTGAGGACTTCCTACCTCTGAACTTTAGAAACCACCAATGTTGCTGGGAAAAGGCTGTGGGAGATGAGGTGGGGGGAGACGGGGAGATGGGGGAGAGGGAGAGGGGCGCACTTGTTACATATCACTTGTTTCCCTCATTAGATAATGACGTCAATGAAGGTGCTTCTAAACAAAGCATGGGGCAGAGTTAAGGCAGGGCAGGAATTGTTCTACATACAACAGGAAAATGAGCCAGAAAGCAATGGTTGCCCACTTTCTGCCCTGCAGAGGACATCATGTCGCATCTTCGGGAGCCTAATGAACTTTGTTTTCAAAATGCATCACTTTATTCTCTCCACAAGGCAGCCACACATCATAAACCTTGAGACAGTCACATGACGTTCACATGATCTCTTCAGTAACCTCCATGGCTTCCGAGAGCTTTCCTGGAGCTTATACCCAGAGCAGTCCTGAGGTTTCAAATATTAAAGCTTTCTCCACAGCCACAAGTTCCTTTGATGTTTGGGTTGTTGAAGACAAATTCGCTGGATAATTTGTCTTCAACATAGTCCATCTCTGTTCCTAAAAGTGTGAGCTGTGCTTTCTTTTCGATGAACACTCTGACGCCTTGGGGAAAAGAAAACGTGTCATAGGAAGCCTGCAGCCTGTGAAACCCGCTGAGTCAAAGCACAAGAGAACTTTAAATAATAACCACCCCCCAACTCCACAGGAAGTTTCTGGTTTCCTGTCTGTCCCCTGTCCTCACTCTACGTCAAAACCAAGTACATTCATAAAGACTGTTTTACGCAAGGAAATTCCATGGCAATATATCAAAACTACATTTTGCCTTTCACTATACTTCACTCAGTTTTTCTATTTTCAATGTGATGGTTTGTAAACACAGAGCAAGTAAAACTTACAGAAACCTTGTAATACCATCTATACCCTTGACTTACTGCTATGCCTAAAAACAGCCAATGACTGTTTATCCATAGGATTTTTTTAAAGACCATAGGCATTAAGACCACATTCTATGGATATTATAAAAATATCCAGTGAACAATCAGTACAGATAGATCTATTGAGGGTATGGACTGAAAAATCAGTAATGTTCCCTAGTAATTATAAAAGTGCAATTACAGGTCTTCTCTTATGCAAGATGAAAATCTTAAGATTTATAATGTTTTCAGTTGATCATATTCTACAGATGTCTTTGGTGGTTATTTACTAAGAATCAACAGCTGGTCCTTCCTAGGGAAGAACTAAACCATAGCTAGGCACACACTTCCACAGCCTGAAACCACCACTGTGACACCCATCATGCTGAAGTTCTCCACAAACTGCAGCATTGTTTCACTTATCTTGAATAGGTTTTCAATAAGAGTGGGAATAGGGATATGAAACACAAAACGAAAGTAATGATAAAAACAGTAATTCTTGTGTGTGGTATCAAAGACAGTAAGTTAAAACTGAAAGTTTTAATAAAAATCAAAACAAGAATTCCTTCAAAGCATGACTGACGTTACTTATATGACAAAAAGTAAGACCACTACATTATGCAACAATGGTTTGATGATTCATCTGACCTTTTATGGTCTTACAAAATTTCTGAAGCTGGGCAAGGTGGCACACAACTGAAAGCCCAGCACTAGGAAGCTGTGACAGGTAGTCTGAGCTACATGGCAAGACCCTGCCTCAAACATACAAGCACACACATCCTACACACACCCCTATACTTCAGGACACAATGATGACCTTACAGGGATGAGAAAGAAGCAACTTATCCAATCACCTATCACTTAGTAAGACAACAGCTTCTGGAGTAAACTCATTGGGTTCACATTTTCACTACGTCCTTCTCACTGTGTCACCCTGGGCAAACTAGTTAACCTCCCATCCTCCATTTGTCCTCATCACAAAATAAGGACACCACAGTGTCCTGCTCACTCAGTTGGTGCATGTAACCTCATTTTCCACAAAACACCCGGCATATGGTAAGTACTGCTTTCATAACTGCTACTCCTATCGTTACTCCTTCCTCCAATTTTTAGCCTTCTGCACAAGGCTAAGCAAAACAAAGTGGCTAGAATGTGTAAGTAAAAAACTCACCATCCTGAACAACTTCTTCATCAGAATCTCCTTTTGTCTTTGTATATTCCAGAGTGTAAGAAAGGCCATTACAGCCCCTGGTTCGGACACCAACCTTCACACCTACCTAAAAAAGATGGAAAATATAAACTTAGTATTAAAATAACACAGATTAAAGAATTACACTTATAAAAACCTCAGCAATTTATCATCAGTACTAATCCTCTCATAAGTTAAAAGAGAAATTTAGATTTCTGGGTATACTAATACAATCACTCACTAGCAGAGATCTTTAAAAATTACTTCTAATAAACAGTTTATACGTTTTTTTTTCTTCATTGTCTTCCAGTCTTGGTCACATAATACAATTTCAGCATAGTTTTTATTTAATCAGAAATAAAATCTTATTCTGCTGTTACTACACATCAGACACCATTTGCCCATGGAATTACCCATTCTAACTGTCAGCTACAAATAATGTCCACGTCATATTTCACTCTACCAATGCGCATTAATTACCTTTCTTTTATGATGCTGGGAATGCAAACCACGGCCTGTGCACAGTAGACAAGCATTCTCCTCCTGAGCTACAACTCAGCTCTTGTGAATTTTGTGACACTTACTATTAAGCAACTAGGTTGGAAACATTTTTTAAGAAAGAGTTTGTATCTCAAAAATGAAAATCGCTTTCTTGCTATTTGAGGCAAGGTCTGACTATGGAACTGGCCTTGACATCATACCCCTCCTGCTTCAGCCTCCCAAGAGAGAGCTATCTCATGACAGAGATGCCTTCTTTAAAATTTGGACTTACTTAAAAATGTGTTGTTCTACCTCATTCTGTGAGATGTTCTCTCCATGTTTCCCTACAGTAGTGCTCACCACGGTTCACAGGTGCTCACCCGGCAACAATATGTACTCCATAAGTAACTTTTAACTTTTGGGCAAACCTGTGTAAACAATCTCAACTACCAAAAAATGAAAGACTGCAGAGAATAGACAGAACTTGAAAAAGTGGAGTTGGGGTATAGCTCAGTGATACTGAATGTGTGTAGCACTTCAAGGCCCTGGGTTCAATTCCCAGCACCAAAACCACCAGGGGAAAAAAAACAGTTAAAAATGTGACCAAAGGGGACTTTTTAGAAGCCACTGTGATATTCACGTAATTTTCTATCAATATCTACCTGCATTCTCTATCTTGGAGCTTGCTTTTTCATTTAAGGATGCACTCAAAGTATTATTTATTACCTTAAGTATTATTTCTTCAGGAAACCCCAATTCACTGAAAGCAGCAGAGTGTGCTGCCTTCAGGAAACCAGTCATCAAGGAAGAAGTCTTCATATTTATAGTTACAGCTTAGAAAACGGGAGGGCACTTCACATATTCAGAATGATAAATGGTAAACGGCTGCCACATCACAGAGATTTGTTAATTTTTATCTTTGTAAATAGGAAAACTCAAGCAATTCCAGATTTTAGAAATGGACACAGATATTTAGAAATATGTTGGGTGGTAGAGCACCTGCCAACCAAGTGTGAGGCCCTAAGTTCAAACCCCAGTAAAGAGAGAGAGAGAACATACAAATAAAGACTATGTGAAAATTTAGCTTTAGGTAACTAGGTTTGGAAAAGAGACTGCTTTGCTAAAAATCACCCCTTCTACAGCAATACAAACATTCCTCAAATCCACAAAGCTAACCTCCTGTTTCATCTGGTCAATTCGTACTGTAGTCTATCCAAACTGAGTTGGAACAGGGACTTCTCTCAGCATTTAATAAGTTTTAGGAGAGAGGTATGAAAAGTCCCATTACATTGTAATGTTGGTTGTACAAGAGAACCCAAGAAAACACTCCACAGACTAATTACCAACTACTGACAGCACATTATTTGAAGTGACTTACAGAATTCTAACGTCACTTAGCAATGCACCATGGTTAAGATGATGCTCACACCCGTCTTGACAGTTTCACCTCCAGGGATGGATGTTACATGGATCCACTAAGCCTTGCTTCCATGTCTTGTGAAAAATGGGTCTGGCACATGCAGCCAACAAAGCAGTAACTAGTGAATGATGCTGTGGCACCAATGAAGAAAAACCACCCAAATGACCTTTAACACAGGGTACTGGTGAGACATTTTTGGTGTCCCAACTTAGGAAGGAGGGTGCTACTGCTTTTTAATAGGTAGAGGCCAGAAATGCTATGGAACATCCTACAACATCAACAGTGTGGAGGCTGAGATCTGGTATTGACAGATTATCTCTGGAAAGACATTAATAGGTTGCTTTTCAGAAGGAAGAATGACAAGAATGTCTGAGGTTGACAGTGACTTGTTTTTCATTGAATACCTCATTCAATATTGTCTGACTGTATAAAACACATACAGTAGTAGAGTGCTTGCTTAGCAGGCATGAAGACTTGGGTTCTATTCCCACCACCACACACAAACAAAGCAAAACAGACCCACCCATATTAGTGAAAACCTACTTTTTATCCGGGCTAAACACCTTTGAAAACAAGTTTTATTGCTAAATATTTAACAAGCTTTACTTACATGTTCAGGCTTATCTCTAAGGAGTTGTTTTATCTTGTTTACTGCTGAAGGTGTCTGAAAAAGAAATTTTTTTAAGTTTCACCTATAACACTTGCATTCTTCAAAGCCACAGAATTACAACTTTAAAGACACTTTTAGTCTGTTTTTAGTTAATTCATGTGACAAATTTATGTTCCACTGTTGCCAGGGAACAGACTGGACCACATAGGCATAGGTAACAATTTTATGAATGGAACTCCAATATCTCAGTAATTAAGACAAAGTACTGACAAATGGTACTGCATGAAACTAAAAGGCTTCTGCACAGCAAAGAAAACAGTCACCCGACTGAAGAGGCAGCCTATAGAATGGGAGAAAATCTTTGCCAGCTATACATCTGGGAAGGGACTAATAACCGTAATATACAGGGAACTCAAAAAAGTAACCTCTCCAAATCAACAGCTCACTGAATAAATGAGCAAATGAACTGAACAGACGATTTTCAAAAGCAGTAGTACAAGTGGCCAATAACTACATGAAGAAATGCTCAACATTCTTGGCCATAAAGGAAAAGGAAATTAAGACTACACTGAGATTTCACTTCATCCCAGTCAGAATGACAATCATCAATAACACAAACAATAATGCTGATGAAGCTGTGGGGGAAAAGGAACACTTCTATACTTTTGGTGGGAAGGTAAATTAGTACAACCATTATGGAAAGCAGTATGGAAAACTAAAAACAGAGCTGCCATACAATCTAGTGACACCACTCCTCAGCATATATCCGAAGGAATGTGCTCCAAGCTATGACAGAGCCACTTGCACACCCATGTTTACTGCAGCACTATTTACAATAGCCCAGCTTTGAAAACAGCCCAGAGGACCCATGACTAATGAATGGATTAAAAAAAACGTGGTATTTTATGTAGTCATAAAGAAGAACAAAATGTTTGCAGGTAAATTGATGGAACTGGAGAACTTCATGTTAAGTGAAGGAAGCGAGGTTCAAAAATTAAAAGGTCACAAGTTTTCCCTCATGTGTGGAAGCTAGACCTATAGGTTAAATGTATATATACATATATGGTCACATATAGACATACATATACATACATATATATAGTGAGACAGAGAACAAAACTGTATTAGCGAGTCTGTCTCAGGGGACTACAGCAGGCAGGAGAGGAAAGAAAATGCTATAGGATGAAAAATACTGAAACAATCCATCTACATATGAATATAATACACTACTATAAGTTGTTGAAAATTAGGGGAGCATGGTGATAGAGGATGAGTAAGTAATGGGGGAGGGAGTTAATTTAATTAAAGCATGACATATACAAACCTGAAGTACAAAAGTGAACGCCCTTGGACTATCAATACTATAAATAAAATGAAGGGTAAGAGAGAAAAATAGGTCTTTTAGGGGGTAGACAGAATGGGAGGAGGTGGGTAAAAAGAAAGGGGGAATGAAGGTGAACATGGTAGATGAATTTTGTATTCACACGTGAAAGTAGAAGAAAGAGACCTGTTGAAATTGTTCTAGGAAAGTGGGGAATGAGAGAAGGATGGAGGAAGTAAATCTAAGATACACAAATGTAAGTACAAATGTAAATATCACAATTATGCCCCTGTATAAGTATTATATGCTAATAAAATAATTTTAAAAACAATCTTTGCTAATACCATCCTTTTAAACCTCGTTCCCCAATCCACGCTACTTCTCTGTCATACTCTTGTTATGCCATCTACTTTTATCACAAATGTAATTTTCATGGGAAGCAGCTATTTTTTGTACCTACTGGTGCCCAGTAACAAGCACATTACCAGACACATAAGGTAGGAAATAGTCAATGAATGAATGAAGAATCTCAATGGAAAAGCCAACCTTCAGGTGCTTCTCCTTTGATTATTAATCATATATGTGTACTTGCATATACATTTGCATAAAATCCATTTCAAATTCATCAAGCTTATAACTAGAGAAGGAATCTTAATAGCATTAAAAAAGAAAAGAAAAGAAAAGAAAGAATCCAGGCCAGCCACCAATGTTACCTGATAGTAACATTGGGAGGCTGAGATCTGGAAGATCATGGTTTGAGGCCAACCCAGGCAAAATTTTTTAAGAACCCCATCTCCAAAAATAACCAGAGCAAAAAGGAACAGAGGTGTGGCTCAAGTGGCAGAGTGCCTGCTTTGCAAGCATGAAACCCCACATTCAAATTCCAATCCCAACAAAATTTTAAAAAACCCCAGAATTCAGGTCCTAACCAAATGCTGACACAGCATCTCAAGACAGAAGTGAACAAAACTAGTCAGTGATAGAAGAACAAGAAATTATTTCTCAGAAAGAATGTTTAACCTACCCCAATGGTCCATAACATGAGAAAAAAGTCACATGTCCTGTGTGTTCAGGTCAGTATTGACAATCCCACCTCCTTGGGGAGGCTGCTGGTCCAATTCCTGTCATGTGAAGCAGCTTCTCTAACTTCTAGTCTCTTAGTGGTGAATTGAGGTAACTGTCCTTCCACTCAGGACTCTTGTGGGGACTAAATATTCAAGTTCAGAGAAGGCAGCCAGGACAGTGCCAGGCACAAAGCGCTGGTCAGTGTGGCAGTTTTCACTACAACATGAGAGTCTATCAGAATGAAGAAACGAACTCCTTCCTCCTTTATCTTTTACTAGCTCCCCCAGCTGCCAATGCTGTGCTGATCCTTCAGGTTTTTCTACGTTCCTCTAGTCTGAAAAATTCTGAAGGCTGCATAGTATGATCTATGACTTACGTAAACTAGCCAGAACTCAAGCACCGGAGAAGATCCAAGGGATAACTCCGCAATATGTTCTCCCCTCTGTGCAGGTGGGGCTCAGCCAAATGATGATGTTTAAACATAAGATGGTCATGAACCAATTTAGAAGGTGTAGACCTAGACCAGCATTTAAAAAAATATAAGATAGAAACTAATGCACTGCACTTAATAAAATAGATGTTGTTTAGGGAAACTTTCTAAATTATTAAAGTACACTATGATGTACACATATATATTTCTATGTGTCACTGTCAAAAAATGAAAAAAAGGGTACATGGTCTCTAAAGGCCTTTTCCTTTTTGTATCAGAAGAGGGGTCAAGCAATGCAAACTAATATGACACAGGAGGTGGAAGAAGGAAATGCTGAAGAGGGGAATTCCGCAAATAGTTACAGAAATATTAAAATTTTATCTAGTAAAAGGAAATAGGTTTACCACCCGAGTATTTTTTTAATCCAAGTGTATATTCTTCTTTTCCCAACTCTTACTAGAAAACATTTAACCAACGAAGTGCCTGCCATTCCAGCAACTTGGGAGGTTGAGGCAGGAGGTTCATGAGTTTGAGGGCAGCCTGGGTGACATAACTAGACCCCAACTCAAACAAAGCAAAAAATATTTAAACATATTAAATGACACACGGCTATAGAGAATGGCACATTTATCATGAAGTTTCTGATGTTCACATTTTATATTGAAAGGCTCTCAAGGGAAAAGTAACATGAAAAGAAGAAACTGTGTGCCAGGAAGCTGTTGTTATGAGGCCAAATGATCTTCATTATCCTGTGGCAGCTGAAACTAAACACACTGTGCTAAGGGAACAGCAGTCATCAAAGGGGAAAAGAAAGCTTTTATAATTTTTAAAATAACTGACCTTTGTTTTTTGTGGTACTGGGGTTTGAACTCAAGCCTTGTGCTTGCTAAGTAAGCACTTTACCACTTGGGCGACCCCCTCCCAGCCCTTTTTACTTTAGGGCATTTTTCAGATAGGTTCTAGCTTTTTGCGCCTGGGTTGTCCTCGGACCTGGGGACCGAAATCCTCCTACCTCTGCCTTCCTCATAGCTATGATGACAGGTGTGTTCCACAACCAGATGGAGTCTGCCTAACTTTTAGACCCTCTTGCTCTCCACTGAATTACCAGCACGCACCACCACGCCAACTAACGTGAATGGCTTGATTTTCAAGACACGTCAAAAAAGACTGAATGGGGAGCATTTGGGATTTTTTTTTTTCCTATTCTAGATATGACAAGCACTTTCTGTATTGCAGTACCAGGTAGAAGCTAAGGATCCTACTTTCCACTGGGTCTATTTGACACTGTCGGCCTGGACAAGATCATAACATCTTCCACTAACCATGCTGCAGGGCCTGGCAGCCTTCAGTATCAAAGACTCTTCAGAGCAACTAGAAAGCCCATCTTTTCCTAAGGAATTGATGCATAAATTCTGTCTCAATAATTTATCTGTGATTCACCTGTGAATTGAAATATAAGAGATTCTTGAAAGCCTCTAAAATACGGCTTTTTAATCTATTCACGTATAAATCACAGGACTGTAACTCTAAAATGACAATCTTTAAGATATGTTGATCCGCTTTCTAAAAATTTATTTTGAGGCTGTTTTTGTCGTCACAATAATGAGAAAAGAAGTTGGATGAATGTGCCTCAGAAGTAATTCATAACAACCTACTTTAACTTTATTCAACACCAAACACCTTCTATTCCTTGTAGGAGAAACTTTTCATCCTCAGTCTTGGACTCCCTTAGGTAATCCCCCAATTTTATTTTTAGCTGCTGAGCGAAACAAAATTAAAACCCAAAGTTAATTCCATGATTAGGTACCAAAAACTATAACCTATTTTAATTTCACTATAAATCTGGCATTTTGATGTCTAAAAAAATGGTAGATAAATGCCAGTCAATGAACAATCTATAGTGTGTTTTGTTAAACTCATCCTTTAACAGCTATAGCTATTTTTCTTTTGTCTTTTCCTGTTCATATGTAAATACACTTACCTACACCATGTTCGTAACCCAAGTGTACATAACCTTCATTAAAAAATGATTTATCTCATTTGATATATGTGATAAACATATATTCATTACTTGCTAAGAACCTTCTAGGTACTTGTTTTTTAATATCTTTTTAATCGTACAACTCTGTGATTTAGGTATTAAAGATTAAATAGTTACATAGAATCTTTGAATGGTTATGGCTGCTTTTTTTTTGGGTGGGGGGGTGGCTCTGGGGTTTAAACTCTGGGCCTTATGCTTGCCAGGCAAGGGCTCTATCACCCAAGCTAGGACACCAGCTCTTTATGCTTTATGTCTTTTATAAACAGGATCAGCCTATATTTATTCCAGGATCACCCTGGACCATGACCATCCTATTTGTTTCCAGCCTAGCTAGGATGACAGATGCATGCTACCATGCCCAGCTTTTCTTCTTGGTTGAGATGGGATATCAAGAAGTTTTTGCCCTAGCTGGCTTCTAACCAAGATCCTCCCACATTCCGCTTCCTGAGAAGCTAGGATTACAGACATGAGTCACTACGCCTGGCATAAATGTTTTTAAAAATCGTCATTTAATGACTACAGATTTCACCAACAGAATCTATTCCTATGTACTTAACCATTATTTTCTTAGGCTCTCCCAATGTTTTCTTTTTGGTGAACTCTGGCCTTGTTCATGCGGACCACACAACCACTGGACCAGTATTCGTCCTAATGTTTTCTGTGTAATAGCTCCTAAACTGCCTTCACGTACAAATCTTACCTCTTGGTCACTACTCCGAAGGACTTGTCCTAGTCCAATGAATTAACATTAAGTTTTTCTCAGCCCATTGCAACTAGATTCCCCTATAACTTGGAAGCCCTAATGCACGCTCTGTCCGTAATGTGTCAAGACTTCTACTGGCTGTGCACTATCATTCTCTCATAGAACTTTAGTGTGTTTCATGAACTGTGGGCCATCTCTATCCTGAAATTGAGGCTGCACTAATTCTGCCTTGTGCAATGATGGAGATAAAAGTGTCTGTCACCTGGGTAGGGTTTAATCTTTGTGTTCCTTAATCATATTTTACTCTGGCCCCTAAAAATTCAATTTCATCTATCAATTCCTGGATATCTGGGTAAAGTGACGGGAAGCATCACAGTGCATGGTTTTCCCTGCAGCTGTTCAAGAGTACTTACACTGATGTATGGGTCGGAGTCTTAGAACATTCAATCAAGGAACCATCCCTGCTTTGTGTTAAAAGTTTCATGGGCAGCCCATCACCAGTGTAAACCCTTCCCTCCAGCAAACACTATTCTTTTCCAGGACTAACATCAGTCAATGCAAATAATTTGGTGCTAAATACAACAAAGCAGGTTTTCATGCTACCAATTGCTTAGCCTACCTTTTTTTGCAATTTTCAAATGTTGCAACATGTCAAAGTCCTGAAGTCACAATTTATATATATCCAAGTAATATTTATGTCTTTTTACAACTCTGAGTTATCTCTACTTTTCTTGGTTATCTGTATCTACTCATTAGGCCTCTGATTATCACTGCTTTGCACACTGAAATAACATGTTGGGGTTAAAAATGTGTGAAAACACACAAATAGCAATACATACCAGTGCCTGGAGATTAAAATGACTGGTAGCCTACTAACACAGGCCCTGGTGGAAAGTGGCTCCTTGTACATTTTCTCTCATACTAGCTCCTAACAAAATTTGAGGAAAACAAGATTCTAGCGTCACCAATAACATTAAGTATGAGTTCAGACACTAACTCTACAGTTGAGCCAGGCAACATGGAGCCTTTGTAAACTGACAATTCTATGGTACTATGAAACAGAAGGGAGCAAAGGTAGAGACTAGGCCTGAGATCAAGAGATGTGTTATTATTCCTTGTAAAAGATGGCAAAGTCTTTGTCTACTATGTAGACACAGTAGGAACAGGGAAACTTGTTTATTTCCTGTCCAGAAACACAGTACTTCTTGTTAATATCTGCTGAAGAAGTAGGAATGGAGAAAAATGGAATGACTCAGAAATTCTGAAGCAACAGGAAACATCCAAAATGGTGATGGGAAAAGAAAAGGCAAAAAAAGTGCCATGCACCTCTGATGTTTCCTAGATCTGTCATTACCAGTTGAAGAATTCTGCTGACTTCGGAGACGTTTTTACTGAGATATAAAGACTGAACAGTGTTCTCTAGTTCTCAAGTCCTTGGATAATTCTAGAGTCATCCAGACATGAAAATGGGCTTGCTAATATAGGAAAAATATAGAATTCAGTATATATGATATACAGCTAGGATAACCTTAAAGGCCTAAAACACTGATGCATTACAAAAATGGGTTCGCCCACCTGATGGTGACTTTCTTTATTTGTCTTGAACTCATTTTCTGGCAATAGGCTTTCTTTGGTATTAGATGGAACAGGCTCAGTGATTAATTTAAATCATCTAGGCAAATACTTGCATGGAGAAAGAGTGGGGTGTATGTGAGAATGAGGAACTGACCTAAGCTTGCCTAGTGAGGTAAAATGTATTGGTAATACATAAAAGTGGTACCTGTACAACCCTATGAATGTCTAAATGCCTCTGGAATGTACCCCTGAAACTGGTTAATTCTGTTACGTGCATTTCCCTTCTAAAAAGATGGCGAGGTCAGAACGGGACACAGTGTGCTCAGTGCAATCTCCAACTGTCTGGTCTGTGCCCTTTCGGGGCGTTTGACCTTTCTCCCGAAAACGCTATGAACCCCCTGAAAATTCGCTCCTGGGTCCTCTACAGACCTGGGCTGCAGGGCTCTGGGGCCCAAGACACGCGGGGAGCGAACCCCGTGTGGCCCGGGCCGCGATCTCGCGGGTGGGTGGGGGTCGGGGCCTGTTCTTCCCGCGGGCCCCACGCTCAGCACGGCCTCCTCTGCGCAGCCGGACTCTCAGGGGTCGCTGCCCTCGCGCTGCCCCTACCTCCCCTCCCCTCCCCCCGCCCCGTACCCCCCCCGCCGCGCAAGGCCTGCCGGGAAACGGAGTCCCGGGATGCCGGCCCCCGAAGGAGCCCCGCCACCGGTATAACGCTCTGACAGGGCGGACTGGACGGCGACTAAGCGGCCGCGGGGCTCGGACGTGCCGGCGGCCTGACCCGTCTCCCCGCCGCCGCGAACCCTACAGGGGCCGGACACGGCCAATGTCCCGGGCCGCCGCCACCACGGGCACTCACCAGAGTGAGGGCGGCCCGGGTGGGCTGCAGCTTCCTCTTGCTCACGGCCCGGACAGTGGCCCGGACCAACGAGGCCGACATCGTCGCCGTCCCGGCGCCCGGTGCCTTGGGCCGGAGCTCAGACACCTCAACCTCTCTCCATGGACACAGCGGGCGCACTGACGCCACAAGCTGCGGCGCACGGCGTCCCAGGCCCCGCCCCGCGCCGCCTGCCCCGCTGCTGCCATTGGGCGGGCTGCGTGAGTGACGTGGCTCATGAGTGAAGGACCAGAGGGGGCGGGGCTCCGCAGAGTTGTGGGTCTGCATCTGGCGGAAGACGGTTCGGCGTCCCGTAGCGTTGTGACGCGGTTTTGCGCCTGGCCACCGAAGGAAGGTCGTCACCTAGAGGTAAACGCGACATCGTGGAGCGCAGTTTAGTGACAAGCCATGACTGCGACCTTTCTGACTCCCCACCTGCCCATGGGTGAGGTCGGCGTCCTCTCCTTTAATACGGACGGTATTAAAATACGCACGGCGGGTCGGAGGAGAAAGAGAGAAGAGCACGCGCTGACCCCTTTTGCACTGTGGGGCCTAGCGGGGTCAGGCCCTTCCCCTGACCATGCACCCCTTTCTGGGGTGAATGTGGAAAGTGACGGCGGCATCCATAGCCTGGGGCCACTCGAGGCACCCGCCTCCAGTCGCGCGGTGTCCCAGGCTTGGCACCTCGGCGGACACGGGTGGGGCGGGGCAGGAGGCAGCACAGGATGTGGGCCGGCAGGGTTAGCGGGTGGAGAGAGCACAGGGCAAGAATGGCAGGAGGGCCCAGGGGAGCGATGCTTACTCATCTTTTCGTACTGAAGAACTAGGAGGCGAAGCTGTTTAAGAGCTCCCTAGAATTGCAGGGTCCTAAAGGATAGTTCAACATTGCCCATGATTGTGGCTTCCTGCTACGGAAACGCAGGTGCATTGACAGGATTTTTCCCACCCCCCAGCTGGACATAGGAGAAGCTGGGACTGAAGGCAACAGTGTGGTATGTTTGTCTCTTGCTTCACACCTTTGACTAGCTGGGTGATTTGGGATGAGACATTTTACTTAGAAGAGTTCATGATTCACAATAGCACTTAACACTAGCAAGTATTAATGTTTATTAAAGATGCCATTTATTGTGAACCTGTCGAAACTCATGCGATGTACACCACCAGAGTGAATGTAATATACACTGAGATAATGACTGTTAGTGAAGTTTACCAATTCCAATACACTACCACACCAGTGCAGAAAGACACTGGGGAAGGTTGTCATGGGTGGACACAGGGGATTTATGGATACCCTCTTCTCAATTTTGCTGTGAACCTAAAACTGCCCTAAAAAAAATAAAACGTTACTAAAAAGATGTCCTATCACTTACTCAGTTATTGAAATGCTGTACAGCTGTGTTGCACTTTAGGTTGACAAGAACTTTGAATATCTCTCCTACCCATCTCACATGGATTAGGGAAGAAGTGATCAAGCCTGTTGTATCAATGATGCTTAGTAAAATCTGGTTCTAAATTTCCTGCTTCAGGATCCTGAGGATGTTTACTACCCGTCTTTCCTCTGTTTAATTCTCACTATTCAGTTTTCACTTAGTTGTTCTGCACATAAGCACTGAGTGGATCAGAAGTACGTAAAGTCATTTGAAGCTGGCATAGGCCTCTGAAAGAAGGTGACATGTTAGGGGAGCATTGACAGTTCTGTAGGAAATACATGAGCTTCTTTATCTCAGAGCAGCAGCTGTCCTGGGGTGTGGAAATGAGGTGGTTGTGGAAAGTGCCCAAGTTGTTATAAACTATAGCCACTTTGAGGTTTCCACTGTTAGCTTCCAGTAGGGAAATGTCAAGAGTAAGTTTCCCAGTTCTAGACATTTAACAGTTTTCCCAGAACTTCTCAGATAATCTTCATGATCTGGAAGGGCATGTATGGAAACTGAACTGCCTGAGGTTAGGGCTTGCCACACAGCTGGAAAACTGACAGGGCCAGGCCCCAAGTCCAGTGCCACACAGGGTGAAAAGTATGCAGTATTCTTGATTGCAGTTGTCCAAACATGTTTGGGTTTAAAGCAAAAGTTCTGAATACTTAACAGTTTCCTGGGAGGGCTACTAAACTATTTAGTTTTGCAGATGAACCCCACTCACTTATCTATCTAGCCAAGATTTTGTTGCACTTGGTAAAGATTTTTTTTTCTTAAAAAACAATATAGCCAGGCACTGGTGACTCACATCTGTAATCCTAGATACTCAGGAGGCAGAGATCAGAGAACCACGGTTCAAGGCCAGCCTGAGCAAACAGTGCAGACATACAAGACCCTCTTGAAAATACCCACCACAAAAAAAAAAAAGGTCTAGCAGAGTGGCTCAAATGGTAGAGCACCTGCCTAGCAAGTGTGAAGCCCTGTGTTCAAACTCCAGTATTGTGGGGAAAAAAAAAAAAGTGAAGCATAAGGAAAAACAGACTAAAGTCATCTTTGAGCATTTAAAAAACATTAAACCTGCACAATGCTGATGCCCTCTGCAATGAGCAAAAGTGTAGATTAGGGCCTCTGGACACTCCCATAAAATAGACTTCACATTTTGGTTTATTCCTGGGAGAACCTTGATAATGGGCACTGCTGGCATGTGTTAAGACAGATGGCAGCAGTACTTGTGACAGCTTCGCCCTGAGAATTGGATACCTGCTGGGAGCACACACACTTGCACAGTAACTGGTGTCCAGCAGAGTCAAAGGCAATCCATTCTCCAGGTCTTTTGCAAAACACTGCTCACTGTCTCACAGTTCCAGTGAGGAAGCAGAAATACAAAAAGGTGAGTGTAGTGCTACACAGCTGTAATTGCATCAGTCGGAAAGCAGAGGCAGGAGGCTCATGAGTTCGAGTTCAAGTTCAAGGTCAGCCTGACTGGGTTCCCTAAGCAAGGCCCTGTCTCAAAAAAAAAAAAAAAAAAAAAAAAAACCCCTAGCCAACCATGGTGGCTCACGCCTATAATCCTAGCAAGGATCAAGGTTTGAGCCCAGCCAGCGCAAAAGTTTAGGAGACCCCCATCTCAACCAATAAAAGCTGGGCATGGTGGTGCCTGTCATCCCAGCTAGGGAGGAAGCATAAATAGGAGGATCACAGTCTAGGCCTGCTGGAGCATAAACGCTATCTCAAAAATAACCAAAGCAAAAAGGACTAGAGGCAACCTAGTACTCCCCCACACCAACATTAAAATTTTCTCAGAGAACTCACAATACATTGGGCAAAATTAAAAGAAACGTATAAAAACTTTTAACTTTTTTTTTTTTTTTGGCAGCACTGAGGCTTGAAGTCAGCACCTCACAGTTGCTAGTCAGGAGCTCTATCACTTGAGCCAGTCCCACCAGTCCTTTTTTATGTTGAGTATTTTTTTCAAGTAGGGTCTTGTGAACTATTTGCCCAGGCTGACTTTGAGCCACAATCCTGATCTCTGCCTCCCAAGTAGCTAGGATTACAACCATGAGCCACTGATGCCCAGCTCTTTTAACATCTTTAAAAGGATATAATACATGGATCTATGCAAAGTAAAAGTCACTCTGTCAAACCAGTCATGTGGAGAATAAACTTGAAAAGTTTTTGTAGCATAATGAAAAGATAGAGGGTGGGGTATTAAGAAATGACAAGTTATCAAAATGAAAACTAAGATCGTTTCTCAAAATTAGTAGGGAGGGCCACACTTGAGGTGTGGCTCAAGAGGCACAGTGGCTGCCTAGCAAGTACAAAGCCTAGTTCAAACCCCAGTACCACC